CCCCGCAGAACGGCCGGCGCCCTGCTCGATAAGCGCGCAAGAGGCCTTCGGATTAGTGGTGCTCCAAAGGCCTGACCTCCCGGCCCCCAGCGGGACTGCGGGGCCCCCTGCACCCCCAGAGAGGCCCCTGCGGACAGTCGGGGCCGAGAAGAGCGCTCCACGGGGTGGGCGCCGCAGCCCCTGCCGCGCAGGCTGGAGGCCAGGGGCCCAGGCGCTTCCGCTTCCCGCCTGGCTGCTCGGCCCCGCGCGCACTGACCAGGAGCTGGTCAGGAAGTAGCTCCTTGGCTGCCCCTTGGCCTAGAACCTACCCGAGTTTAAGTCTGTGCTCTAAGTGGTCGTGCATACCTGCGGAGGTTGGAACCTGAGGTTTGCACGCAACTTAGCCCCGCTTTTTGAGTTTAAAGGCTGATTGTTGAGTTTAAAATGCACTTTTATTGCTACTATTAGAATATTTTTACTCCTACAGATTTACATAAACCACCCTTAGAGATTGAAAACCGTTGACCTTATGAGTTAAGTGGGTTCAGTAGAATCCAGCTACAGAGAATTGGTATGAATTTGGAGTGAATAAGAATGTGATTTCTTCCAGAGTCCCACGCTATTTAGCTAACCAGGTGCCTAAACTAACTCCCTCCAACCATAAATGGGAAAATGAAAGTAGCTGAAGGATAATCTATGCAGTATAATCTTTTTTCTTACTGACTTACCTTTGCATAACTTTACACACGCATTTATTTTTTAAAACTCAAAATCACATGTGAAGATTTAATAAAGGTCAGTTATACACGAGGGTCTCGTTTATATTATTCTCTCTGTCCTTCTGTTGGTAATATTTCATTAAAAAGTACACAAATACAAAATAAAATGAGTAAATTTTAGTGTGTTTATGTGATCGATGGTCCTGGTCATATGAAAACTACACAAGTGTACAGAGTGACTTGTCATTTTTCCTTTTAGACTGTATCCAAGCATAACAATAGAAAAGCTGAATGAAAAACTATTAGAATCTACTGAATACCAAACTTTAAAAATTTCAATTTGAAACATTCTTAAGAATTATATAACTGTTAATACTTTCGATGTCTAGTGTTTGAAAAACCACTAACCAGGCTTCTGACCATAACACATCACAGACTTTTCAGGACTAGAATAATAACTGGCATTTGAAAATTTGCCGGATGTCTGAATCTGTTAAAATAGCAACCTATCTAATAGCAAGAAAAAAATTAACTTTACATTTATTAACTTAAGATTCAGATGCTTCACCAACATCAAAATTAAGCAATTTATTAACTATTCATCAGCCTTTTAATTAACCAGTTCTATAGAAGCAACATATCTGAAACCGGGGACCTACGGAATTCAGATAAATTTAGTTCAATTCCGTATGCATTTCTAATATCTAACAAAATTCGTTACCATCCAACAACTTGGTTTTTATGGGTTTAATGTAATTTGTTCTCATCCTATAGACCTCACGTTTTTGCTTGACTGTTGTAATGGTGTATTTTACAGATAAGTTTTTATTTGCACATAAGGACAAAAAGGTGAAGTGAAATTTGGTCCCACTGGAAACCTGTTAGGTTCCCTGAACATATGGCTCATTGGGCTGTTACTTCCTTTTTGAGATCATTTTCCAAGATTTTTTAATATATACA